CCACCTTAGGTGTACGTGGCTGGCGCCTGAGCCGGTTGAGCTATAGGCGCCAAGCCTTAAAAATCATTTTCTAAAGATCAAGATAATATAAGGGCAGGATTTGGGGTTGTATTGTTCATTGTTGTATCCCCAGCATACAGTAGAAGTGTAATAATTAAGATCATGTCCTATTCCTATGACATTTAGCACAAAAACCTGAACACAGTGAAACTTTACAAAAATTCATTGAAAATAATAAGAGTCACACCACTGTTTAAAACGGGAAGGTTTATTAAGGTTTTTCCTCCAGAGGAACAGCCAATCTCTTGCTCCTTAAGAGAAGCAATTATCGGGAAATGTTTGTCACACCTTGGGCCCAGAAGCACAAGAGGCCACTTCTTAACCAGCCCAAGGGACTTGTATCACCCAATCCCTTTTAAAACTTGTTAATATCTGCAAAACAGAATCCAAGTTGCCTTCCCGGAAAACAGAACTAGGTACCCAGTTCAAAGTCTCCAGCTATTCTCACCAAGAATATTTAAGCAACACAGGGCAATAAATGGACTGCACATCCAACAATCTTAAGATGAAATTGCAGGAAGAAAAATCCATGATCAATGTAATGTGGGGACTACATTTTCCAGAATAGCTTACATTTTTTTACATTTTGGGGAACATACATGCTAAAAGTTGGGTGGTTAGGCTGCCTCAAAATTGACATTCTCACCATGCAAGATGGTTCTTTCCACGTCCTGGACAAGCACCCAAACCACTCTGCCCTTTTATGTTTGGAACTGATTCAAGAGAGGCTATTTTGACACATACTTAGCACCTTAAATAAGTTACAAACTCAAACTAGAGAAAAGGTTATTTTCCTCCTCCGAATACCTGACAATTGCTTTGCTTTGGTTTCAGTAAACATACCATCGGTAAGAGCATATTTTGTTTTCTAAGACTCTACTGTTCCTTTGCTTACAAAGGAAAACACCAAGGTAGTCCTTATTTCTTTCCTTAGTCCTAAAACAAATAGACACTGACAAAAATGTATCTGTATCTACGAGAATGAAGGGGCAAAATATTTTAAATTGGCCACGTTCAGAAAACGCAGTGTTTCATTACTACTCACATGTGGAGAAATAGAGATCCAAGTTTGTTTTAATAAAGTTGGTAATAAAATAAAGATCAGTATTTTCCCTAAGAATTAACTTTTCCATGTATATTACAGCTTCAAAGCGGATTATTTCACGGAGGTATAAAAGGTGGCCATTTATGATGGCAGATCAAGGTGACAGATTTGTTCAGTTGTTTGGACAAGAGAGTGATATGCCAACATCCATATTTCTCCAAATATTCTTAAGAGAACTACCCATGTGGCTACATTTCAGCAAATTACAGAGTTATTCACATCTTTGATGAATTTTTGTGTATCTTCCAGGGTCAATTAGGTAGTAAACTCTTGACTGAGAGCCTCTAAGCCTCTTTGTGAAGCATGCAGTGTCTATTGAATAGGTTAAGTCAAGGCTTGTAGAATTCTTAACTGATACTGAAGCTCCCCCTGGTGGAATGTAAGATCATAGTTAGATTACATACACGGTATTACTGTTAGTTTCTAAAACTAGATTGTTTGGGGGCACTATCAAGCCACTAAAGTCATTTGTGTTTTAATTGAAAAATAAAACTATCAACTGTGGCACCAAGACTTCGTAAATTATATGTCACTCATATAACCAAAGCCATTATAGTTTACTCACAAATACTAATAATGGTATCAGTTCCTAGATACTTATCACATGAGATTCATATAATATCCTCGAGACTTCTGATTTTTCAGCTATAAAAATACATCTTATTTTCAGGCACCCTGCCCTCTGGAATCAAGATTAAGGAGTTCACTTCAGGACAACATAAAAACACAACCATCTTCCCATTTTCTAACAGGATACCTTTCCATCTTGCTCAGCAACCACAGATTTCTTTGAGATAGCAACGCACAGCTCAGATTTCAGCTGGCTCTGCTTTGCATACCACTGTACGCCCAAAGGCATGTTTTTGATGGTTCCACCTTTAACCCAAGTATAAGATGTGACAAAGCAATCTAGTATCAACCTTTCTCCACCACATTATAAAACAGTTTGAATTTATGCTACCACTCAAGCACACTGGAACTTGGAGTTAAGTCTTATTTAATGATTCTATTTAATCTGGCAAATAACTACACAATCTATGTAATGAGGTCATGTTTAGAAAATTTTACTGGTGAGATGTAGGTCTATAATTTTTTAAGTCCAAAGAAATGTTTGAGAGGAAGTTTTGAAGCAGAATGACTTTGGAGGACTTTAAAATAAAACATGCCACACTGACCTGGACAAATTTGCCCTAATTCATCACTTATTTTTAAAATTTACTATATTTTTGGCCCCTCAATCCCATACATATGCCTAACTAGATCATTGGAAGGGAAATGTTAGGTAACTAAGTTTATTAGAAACTAAAAAAAAAAAAAAACAAACACAATTTCCATTTTTTAAAAACAATACTTTAACAATTTCTCAGGTTGGTTAAATAGTGCTTACATTTAAAACCTGATTTTTAAATTTCAATTTAGTAGCTGACAGGCTGACCACACTCCTGGAAAATCAGCAAGGCATGAATACCTCATACCTAGTTGCAATGAGACAGTATCTCGATCCCTGAGCAATGATTTAGACTTTCTAGGACTGGTCTCCTGCTTAATGTTTGGGGACAAGGCACAGGGTTTCCCAAGCTTGTTTTTTTTTCCCCTTTCCTAGCATTTAGCTGGCCAAGAAGCTTTCTGCTCTACCTTTCTTTATGGAGACTATATAAGTAATATCACCCTGGGTCCCTGTCCTCATTAAGCCCTATCTTTTATAAAAATGGAAATAACTGAGAAGGAAAAGAAAAGCACCACTATATAGGAAGCTAAAATTTTAACTTAGCACTCCTTTTCATGTTACTACTACCATATTATTTCATAAATAGTTGAAACAAAGGTAATTAACACATTCCTTGTATGTGTTTTAACTTTCACTCACTTGTCTCAAATTCTTCAATCTATTATAAAGCAAGTTTGAAAATTTTCACATTTAACACTTCAACAGTGGGCTCACACCCAGCAAATCAACAATGGCAAAATAATTCCCTTGATGACATTACAAGCTGTGGAAGATCTGAAATAGTAAAAGTTAAACCCTGATACAGTATTAAACTTATCTTTTTACATATAAAAATAATACACAGTGGGATATTTTATTCCATAAGATACAATCTTTAAGATCAAGAGAGAATATACAAAACTATTCTATGTAGTCTGATGTATTTTACTGTATAGTAAGAATAAATATATCTAGAACAGAAAGTGCGAGGTCTGTTCCTAGAGAAATCACCAGGTCCTTAGTATAGTTTAAAGCCAAGTGTTCTGCAGATACCAGGCAGAAAGGAGCTACTGCTACATTTAAAATAATGTGGTCATTATAAAATAAAGGCCTTAAATCTGTATCTATAAACAATAACAAAACACACAAACCAAATGAAAATGTACTAAAATTTAATCATCCATAAAAGCTGTAATTTAATCTGACAGTAAACACAAGAAGCAATATTAGAGTTGGTTTAGTATATTATATATTTTAGCTTTGAAAGCCATAGAAATCAGTTATCCCAGTTTTTTCCTATAAAAGACCCATTTTTCCAAAGCATTATGCACAATTTTAATTAGAATATAATGACAGAAGATATTTCATAATTTTTAAATATAAAATGAAGTCAATGACTCAAAAAGTTATCTGCTGCAATGAGTTTGAGGGGAAATTTTATAATCTATATCATTACAGATATAAAGTATAATGGTTCAACTTTTTAGTGCTGGACAGGGAGGAATCATGATAAAAAGGTCAATATGAAATCATTTGATTATAGTAGCAATATCTAACATTTGAAATGCATTCATGCTCTTTTGTATAATCATATTAGAGTCAAGTATATTTATTTTCACATCTGTTATAACTGCTATTGCAAAGGAGAAATACTATTGTCTTATTTTCCAAGAGATATACACAGAGCAATTTTTTTTCTCCAGGGAACTTGTGCAAACCAATATAAGATCTAAATTCTTCACATAATATATAAAACAGGAGAAGCCTCTTCAGATTTATTTTTTGAAGTCTGGAATGCTGGCACTTTCCAATTGGGCAACAGTTCTTCATTTCTGTGATCTAGAACATTGAACAGATATGGATATACAATGTATGTGGTTAATCTCTTGATGTCAGAAGATGACAAGCAGACATCCAATAATATAGAAAAAGCAGTGACTTTCACTCATCATTACTAGAGACAGTTATGGTTAAGGGGCTATTTTAAATTCCCTTTTAAAATGTTTAACAAATAATCAAAGACAAATTCACAGGAGGGAAGTCTATTATCAGTCAATTTAAGTATCTTCAGTTTTATTATACTTAATGTTTCACATTATATCTGACAGTCCTGTGTATAAAGAGGGAAACAGTGATATTTCATTTCTATCCCATTATCGTTTTATTTTTCAAACTTTATTTTTTAACAAAGAAATGACACATGCCTATATAAATTTTCCATGGGATATAATTTAGTCAACTATTTTATGATTATATATATTAGGATTGACACTTCTAATAGAGATTAAGGCAAAGGATGATACAGAAAGAGCTGATCCCCACTTTCAAAGGCACAAGAATCAAAGTTGATCTTAATGACAAAAGAAGAGAAGTAGGGTAAAGGAAGATTTCCTGACGGTGAATTTCTCAGAAGTCTTTAAAAATGGGATAAATATACCAAAGAGATCAACATATTTCAATGTAATTTTGCCTAAAGACTACAGACAAGATAAGTTACCCAGAAGATTCATATACACTCACTAAAAATGTCTGTAACTGATATTTAAATCTACCCAGTATCTCAGTACTTTTAAAAGTAAAGGAACAACATGGCACTTCACAACAAAATGCACTATGAAGTAGTCTGATTGCTAAGTCATATATTATTTGGCATTATGGAACATTCATAGAAATCTCAGGTGACTTACTAAGTATATTGCAAACTGAATTACATAGCGGGGTCTGAGAAATTAGGCAACCAGGATGAAAGCCTTATTTTCTAGATGCAGGCAAAGATTTATCTCCTCTACGGTAAAACTTATAATAAATTTAAGGCTAGCAAAGGTTAACGATGTCAATGAACCAGTCAACTAAAAGAGACTTAAATAATATAGTATTTAAGAACTGACGTCCTCGTTTTCCCCACTTTTCCTTACCTTACCTGACAAACACAAATAACAGAAGTCTTAACACTAATCACTTTCAGGGAACTGATGATTCAAAGTTACTGAATCAGGATTTCATTAAAAGCCTAAAGCAACCATTTGGCCAGAAGCTATCTTTCTTAAGTCTGACTACCAGATATAATCCTTATTCCCATGTTTCCTTTACATACTTTCATTTAAAGAGGGGCCACAATTACTCAGCTGTTTCCCTTAAGAGATACTCATTCATATCTCTAAGGAAGCATATATTATTAGTTAATTTGGAGCTCTGGAATAAATAATCTACTAAATAAACCCAAGAGACTTAAAAGAGATAATGTACCAACTCTCAAGAGAGAAAAGTTTACTTTCCTCTAACTTACAGGTTTAGTAATACTCATAATTAGTATCAAATTACATCATGTATCTACCCCATAAAAATATTCTTTGATGGCATTATTTATAGATTTGATGAAGTAGAAACTGTTCAGGAGATTTAAATACATAAAGAAAAACAAATAAATAGACCTTGCACAGAGCATGGTCTCTCACTTGACAGGCAGCTTAAATGCTGCCACTACTGGTAGTTTCTCTTCAATGGGGCCACTTAATGAAAATTTAATTGGTACTTATGTGCTTTTTTTTTTTTTTTTTTTGAGACAGAGGCTCATCCTGGGTAGAGTGCTGTGGTCTCAAAGGTTACGGCAACCTCAAACTCTCGGCTCTAAGTGATCCTCTTGCCTCAGTCTCCTAAGTAGCTGGAATTATAGATGCCTGCCACAATACCTAGCTAGTTTTTCTATTTTTAGTAGAGCCGGGATGTCACTCTTGCTCAAGCTGTTCTCAAACTCCTAAGCTCAGGAGATCTACCGACCTTGGCCACCTAGAGGGCTAGGATTACAGGCCTGACCCACCGCACCTGGCCCTTTTAATTGGTACTTATAGTCAACTACTACTTAGAAGTCTACAGACAAAATGTTTATATGAAAGAAGTTGACCCATACCTGAGAAGAAAAAAATACCAAAACTACAATGATATACTATCACATATCCACCCCACGGCTTGAGTTAAAGGCTGACAAAATTAATTTTGAGGGGAATATGGCACCTATAAATAGTGTAGAAAGTGCCATAACCACTATGAAAACCTTTTTAGCAGTATCTTCTAAAGCTGTCCACATGTATAGTGTGTGATCTGGCCATTCCTAGACATGCATCTGACAGAAATGCATGCACATGTACACAAAGACTAATACGAGAATGTGCACAGCAGAATTATTCATACTAATTTCTCAGAAGAAAGAACTCAAATGTTTACTAGTAGAAAAATAGATAAATATATTGCTAGTGTAGTGATATTAAAAATGAACTCTTGCTATGCATGACACAGATTATGCGCAAAAACAAATTTTTGAGTGAAAGAAGCTACACATGAAATAATACTTTACACAGTTTTGTTGATGTAAAGTTCAAAGAGAGGCAAAACTTATCCAGTGTTAAAAATCAGGGCAGGGGTTCCAAGTGGAGAGGAGTGACTACTGACCACTTTGAGATAATTCACCAAATGTGTACTTATGTCTATTTCAGATGAACCACTGTTTCACTTTAACTTGGGATGAATCTGGGGGGCATTCTATTCATTCAACCAGGATTTTTTGAATATCCATTCTCTGTAAGACAGTGGAGACTCAGTGGTGAGCAAAACAGACATGGTTCTTAACCTTAGAATCTCATGGAAAGAGGGTAAGTTATCCAACAAATAAATGTATCTCCAACTTATATATCACAGTTACAAATTACAGATACTTAGACATATTGCAATGTGTCCAACAGAATGTGGTTAAAGTTTGGAAAAACCCAAAATAAGATGAAAAAGGCATTTGTTTTGCTGTTAGCATCTTACCTGGCTCAGAGCTGCTGCTGACTACAGGCCTAGAGCAGCAGACATGATTTCTTTTTAGGCTTCTTCTTTTCCACTGGTGTTTTTCTATTTATCTGTCTGACCAGGTCATAAAATATCTAAGTAAAAACAAGAAAAAAGGACTTACTCAACTGATTTTTGAGACTTGTTCCACAAAACAACTCTGTTAAATATCATTCTGAGCTTAGATCTATATTTTGCTGCTTTGTTTTAAAGCAGACGCCCCAACTGACTTTTTCAGTCAGAGTAAGGCAGGACTTACCTATTCATAGTTAAGAAAATACACTTGCTCTTTGATAGTAAATACAAGATTAAGAAGAAGAATTTTTAGTGAAAAGTAAGGTAGTAAAAATAAACTTCAAATTTATAGAGAAATTGCAAAAAACAGCACCAAGAACTTCTGTATATTTGTTCCAGATTCACCATTTAGTAACATTTTGCTGCTTTTACTTTATCTTTTCTCCTCTCTCCACACACAGTTGTTTTCTGAACTGGCAGAGTAGTCTGCTTACTAAAAATTCCTTAATACTTAAGTATGTATTTTCCCAAGAACAAGGATATTCTCTTACAGGTACCAGAACCATACTATAGTTATCACATTTGAGACAATTAAGCACAGATATGTTACTCTGTATTACCTACAATACAAATGCCAATTTTGTCAGTTGCCTCAGTAATAATGTCCTTTCAAGTCAATTTTCCCCACCAGGAAAATGTCTAGGATAAGACATTACGTTTTATTTCCTATCACTTTAGTCTTTTAAAATCCAGCATAGTTCCTGGCCTTTGTCTTTAAAGATACTGTCACTTCCGAAAAATAAAGGCTTGTAATATTATAGACTTTCCCACAGTTTGGGTTTGTTTAATGTTTTCTCAAGATTAGCCCAAGGTTATAAATTTTTGGATACAATAGGACCCCTCTCAAGGTATCGCATACAGAGAGACATGATTTTTGTCTATCCTCATTTTGGTGATGTTATTTTTTATTAAAGTAAAAAATAGAAAAAGTCTACTGATCTTTGATTTGAAGTGATAAATAGTAACTGTAAATAATTTTTTTGAATTCATTTTTAGATGAAAAGTTCAAGGTATCAAAGACAAAATAATGCGCCCCTAAAGCAGATTATTTAATTCTGATCTGCTTATGTACAGTTTCAGGCTGCCATGTATACCAAAGTGTTGAAACACAAAACAGGTCAGCTGAATATGGTTCTTTCCTATGAAATGCAAATTTTCATTTACTAATGACCTAGAATAAAAACAAGTATCACAGAAGACCCTTACTGTTATTCATCTGCAACAAATAATGCTTTGCAAAAGCGGGTTAAAAAATGTATTGGCTTTACCTGGCACTATAGGGACAACTGGCAAAATTTGAATATACATCGATCATGGATTTTGTCAATTGTCAATTTTTCTGATTCTAATACTTCTGCTATGATTGCGTAAAGAATGTTTTTGATAGGAGGAGACATATACTAAAATAGGAATTAAAAAGTATGTTTTCTGCAAATGTGGCAAAATGTTAATAACTGGTGATTCTAGATGAAGAATAACCAGAAATTCTTTTTATTGTTTTTAAACTTTTTCAGTGAATTTTAAAAGTATTAGTTTACATTTATTTTAAGATAGATGGTGAACAATTATATTTCTTTAAGGTGATAAAGATTCATTTACTTTTAAAAATGGTCTAAAGATTGTTAAGACTAAATTAACTGTTACAAAGAAAAAAGTACTGAGTGGTATATTCCAAAACTATAGAAGTGACTGATTTATATTCTTTTCTTTCTGCCCTACCTTCCCCACTTCCTTCTTCAAACCATTTAATTCTCTATTATCTTACTCCTTTTTTTTTTTTTTTTTTTTTTTTTTTTTTTTTGAGACAGAGCCTCAAGCTGTCCCCCTGGGTAGAGTGCCGTAGCATTACAGCTCACAGCAACCTCCAACTCCTGGGCTCAAGCGAGTCTCCTGCCTCCGCCTCCCAAGTAGCTGGGACCACAGACGCCCGCCACAACGCCTGGCTATATTTTGGTTGCAGCCATCATTGTTGTTTGGCGGGTCCGGGCTGGGGATTCGAACCCGCCACCTTAGGTGTACGTGGCTGGCGTCTTAGCCGGTTGAGCTATAGGCGCCGAGCCTATTATCTTATTCCTAAGAAAAGTTTGAAAACAGAATTTATTGAACAAAATGGTTTCTGTTTCTTAACTCCAAAGTCCATTGTTTCACAACTCTGAAGGCTTTAAAAACTCAATGCATGCTGGGCACAGTGGCTCACCCTTGTAATCCCAGAATTCTAGGAGGCCAAGGTAATCGGACTGCTTAAGCTCAGGAGCTTGACACCAGCCAGAGCAACAAGCAAGACCCAGTCTCTACTAAAAGTAAAAAAATTAGCCAGGTCTTGTGGCAAGTGCCTATAGTCCCAGGTACTCGGGAGGCTGAGGCAAGAGGATCACTTGGGTCCTAGAGTTTGAGGTTACTGTGAGCTATGATAATGCCACGGCACTCTATCCAGGTAGATAGCCTGAGACTCAGTCTTAAAAAACAAAAAAAACTCTCAGTGTGCATAAGCCATGAATGAGCTTTCATCGGTTTCCTACACTCGTTGCGTAAGTTATAATAGGAAAAATAATAAAAAGGTAAAAGCTGAAAACAGTAAGTTTGATCTATTTCAGTTTCTTCATGCTGGCCAGTTTCTGGTACTATTCAAAAGGTAATGGATTTTTGTAGTATTCTAAATTATTTCTTTGGAAAACATTGCCTACCTCACAGCAGCAGATGGTTCAGTGATGAGGGCATGTTCGAACTATAATATTTGGTTAGAAATGCTGAAAGTCCCCAGCCTAGGTTCTTCCTCATCTCTCTGAACTACAGAAAAATCTAGAGGGAACACAGAATAGAGTTTCTCAATCCCTCTCCCATTCCTAAATTCGATGTCTTGATTCCAATTATTAGTCCAGCCTCAGCAAAGAATAATTAACTCTTAACACTGATGTGATTCTGATATAGCTAGATGCTACTTTTGGAACATAGCAGAAGTGGTATGAATAAGAGTTTTAAAAAAATATGTATTTATCAATCAGAAAATTAGAGGGCTCTTTAGTCAAACAGTATGTCCTTATTTTCAAAACTGGGGCCAAGAATTGAATCTTTTGAAAATATTCCTTCATCTTCAGGCATTCAAAGATCACAAAAACATTTATAAAACATAAGGCATCTGAGAAATAATTAACGATCAAAAGTACCTGGATTATCAGGCTATAAAAAGAGAATTATTAAAAGAAAATCAAGTTATTATACTCAAGAAATTAAAGTATGAAGTTTGTATGTTTTCCAAAAAAGTAAAGATTCTTCTCTTTTTGAGACTGAGTCTCACTTTGTCACTCTTGGTAGAGTGCCATGGTGTCACAGTTCATAGCAACCTCTAACTCTTGGGCTTAAGTGATTCTCTTGCCTTAGCCTCCTGAGTAGCTGTGACTATAGGTGCCCGCCACAATGATCAGCTATCTTTGTTGCAGTTGCCACTGCTGTTTTTTAGCTGGCTGGGACTGGGTTTGAACCTGCCACCCTCAGTATATGGGGTCGGCGCCCTATCCATTGAGCCACAAGAGCCGCCCAAAAGTAAAGATTAAGATGGCTAACGCATTGCATTTTGTTTTATTGTTTTTCTATTACTGTTTTATAAACCCACATGTCAACGGTTGACTTTAACAAGACATTTATGAAAAGCGGCTCTGGTGCAACTGCAGACTGCAACCCAGAGGAGGTTTAGCAGCATACAGGTTCCCACAAACATGTAATGCACTGTGTTCTGGCTCCCAAAGGGAGAGATTCCATATTATGAACCTGAGTTGAACCTAGCCCCAGATGAATCTGATAAAATGGGTGGGTGGATACCAGAGAAGAGTAAGGACAGGGGTGGCAAGGAACTGGATCTGTAAGGCCAATTATCTTGCAGATGTTGATCTTGTACCACTGTTCCACTAGCTAAGCACATTCTCCAATCCTAGTATGTTCTTTGCCAAACTCACTTCTTTTGGCTCAGTGCAGTGGCTCATGTCTGTAATCTCAGCGGATGGCTTGAGTTCAGGAGTTTGAAACCAGCCTGAGCAAGCATGAAACCCCACCTCTACTAAAAATACAAAAACTTAGCCAGGTGTGATGGCGGGCACTTGTAGTCCCAGCTAGTAGGGAAGCTGACACAGAAGGACTGCTTGAACCCAAGAATTTGGTGTTGCTGTGAGCCAGGCTGATGCCACAGTACTCTAGCCTGGGCAACAGAGTGAGACTCTGTCTCAAAAAAGAAAAAGTCACTGTTTTACTTGTTGATGAGGATCACAGTAAGAGATCCTACTTGCTCCTAGTAGGATGTAAACTTTTCTAGGGCAGGAATAGTGTCTGGATGACTATTACCTGGGTGCCTAACACAGTGTAAGACACAAGTACTCAATAAATATTTGAATGGAATTTATAATTTATAAATTTCTTATTTTTATGTACTTGTTAAAAATGGTCTCAGTAAAAAACATAAGCTTTGGCATTCTTGATTATTTGTAAAATACAAGATTCGTAGCAAGGTTCATATTTTTCCTGCCATGTGTTTATCAGTCAAGGAAAGTGACCTATAGATACAGGTCAGAAAGGAAAAGCAAGCAAAAACATAGGACTCTGATAACCTAACCCTTTTTTAATTCTCATCTGTGTTTTACGTGATCTGAATTCTGGATTATCTGCAGTGCTGTACACAACATAATTCTGGATTATCTGCAATGACAAGTACACAGGCAAGAGCAAAGGAAAGAAGCTCCTTTTGTTTTGTTTTTATTTTTTAAAAGTGCTTACGGTAAAGTTAACAAAAGCAAGGGAACATTTTAAGTTTTTTTGGGGGGGGGGCAGGGAGACAGAGCCTCAAGCTGTCACCCTGGGTAGAGTGCTATGGCATCACAGCTCATAGTAACCTTCAACTCCTGGGCTCAAGTGATTCTCCTGCCTCCGCCTCCCAAGTAGCTGGGACTACAGGTGCCCGCCACAACGCTGGGCTATTTTTTGGTTGCAGCTGTCATTATTGTTTGGCGAGCCCGGGCTGGATTCAAACATGCCAGCTCAGGTGTATGTGGCTGGCACCTTAGCTGCTTGAGCCACAGGCGCTGAGCCACATTTTAAGTTTTTGATTGGTGGGGGCAGTTAGGAACTACACTAATTTTTCAGGGACCTACTAAATGCTAAGCCTTTTATACCTGGGCATGCAGTTTACCTGCTAAATATTCCTGTTCACAGCTATGTTTTTTTTTTTTTCCAGTTTTTGGCTGGGGCTGGGTTTGAACACACCACCTCCAGCATATGGGGCTGGCACCCTACTCCTTTGAGCCACAAGCACCACCCCACAGCTATGTTTTTAAGATAGTGGAGTGTTAACTACAGGACCTGGGAAAAAAACAAAAAGAAAAGCCTGTATACCTGCTGGATTAGGCCTGAGTGAATTCCACAGGTTGATATGCACAGATTACTCACTTTGAGTATAAAGTTCGTATGTTTCCAAAAAAGTAAAGATTCTTAAGATGGCTAATGAACTTCATTTTGTTTTACTGTTTTTCTACTTTTGTCTTACAAACCCTCATGTTAAGGGTTGACTTAAACAAGATTGCTATGAAAAAGTACCTTTGTTGCACTGCAGACTGCAACCCAGAGGTTTAGCAGTACACAGGTTCCCACAGAAACATAATGCACTGTGCTCTGGCTCCCACAGGGAGGAATCTTATGTACACCAAAAGTTTCACTGTAATAACTACTTCAATTTTTGTATTTTCCTGCTTAACTTTATATGCTTTTTATGTCCATCTGGATAGATAATACAAGGGTGCAAAAGTTTTCACACACCACTTTAAGGCATATCACTTAGGGGCTCAGCAGGACTTTATACATAATCTGTAATTATAACTTCCTCTTTGACAATAGGGTAAATGTTAGGGCCTTCATTAAAGCCATCAAAGTGACCTTATGCAAACTGAGATAGAGTTCCTAGAAATTAGTATTTTCTATCAAGTGACAGAATCAAGATTGCTTAAAAGAATTTAAAGCAAGTGAAACTAAAAAAGCACTTGTCTGTGCTGCCCAGCAGCTATAGATTACCTCATTAACGTTGATCTTTGACTTTGCAGAAGATTCTAAAAAGGCACAGTTACACCACTGTCTTGCTAAATTCTGGCCCTGTTCTTTGCCAACTACTCGTTCATCTTCCAGGTCACATTTATTGCCAACCAAAATCATTGGAACCTGTGGAAAGGAAAATAACCTAAAATGAGCATTACTCATTACTTAGCAATTACCTGCTGCCAACTAAAATGTATTAGTTAAGAGTCTAAGCTTCTTTAAGTGCTAAAACAAAAAGTACTATAGCATGTGTGTTGAGGGAAAGGTGGAGGGAAGAGGGAAGAGACAAAAGGGAATATGAAGGAGAGCCTACTACATACATGATGCTCAATTATTTTATGAATGCAATCCCCAAAATCTTATGTGGACTACTCTTAATAACTGAATTTCAAGTAGAAAAGTCTGAAGGAAAAGGAACTTATTGCCATATAGAGAAGAATAAACTCACTGGGCCTGTTTTAAGTGCTTCATCTTACAGGTCCAGCAAGTGCCAAAAGTAGTGGTAAGACCAATATGGTAAATTAGGGTTCTATTTTTATGTTTGACATTTAGACCTGAAGACCGTGAGATGTGAAGAAGGATTAACAACAAAAATGAAGTCCTTTTCTTCCTATCGTAATTCCTTGGCTACATCCATCTACAACTTCCTACTTCTAGCAAAACAGGTAGCTAACTATATTAGTTTCCTTAGTTAAAAGGTGTCCAGAGAACAAATCATTTATTTGAGGTGACAGACAATATAAAAATGAATGAATTTAAGAGACATGGTGCACCTTTCCCTAAAATAAACAATTATCATGAGTTATACACACTAACATTCATGACTCCATCTTTTTTAGTTAAGTACATGGGCTAAAGGGATTAAAATTATCAGAGTTCAATGATTTGCACATAAATGCCATGAAAACAGAATTCTCTTGGATAAATTAGTCATGGGAAGGATTATTCATTATGTTACAGTTGGTCACGAGTCATAGGCATAAATCCCTCCTGCCTACAAGAATACTCAACGTTAAGGTCCTGAGCAGATTTACAAGTTCCTACTAATAATTAGAGAGACAAAAACACAAAGAAAGGTACAACTGAAATTTTATAACCTAATTTATACAACTGAAAAGGAACTCTCTATAGTTCAAAACTGAGTAAGTATCTAAGATATCTGTAAGACATACAACAGAAACAATGCTATTCATTGAATAAGACAAGATTTCTAAAACAGAATTTTTAAAAATCTAGTTATTAAAAACTTTGACATAATTCAAAGGAAAATACACCATTTAAGTACAAATGTGTTATACTAATAGAATTTTACCAATAGCAACATGCCATTATGGTTCTTAATAACTGTTCTTTGAACACTGTTTTTGACCTAACTACCACCTTTCAAAGCTAGAGTCCCGCTTTTTCTAATTAAATCTTCTTTGTCTCCTCTTCTATATTGCATTTTTTAGCCACATAGCACAATAAAGACTTTACCACACGTCTTCATTTTTAAAAAATCTCAGCATATAATTTGTAGTCAAAAAATTTTGGTCACAAGGGCCCTTTTAGGGATGTGGTAGATACTTTTCAAATATTCTACTGATAAAGAAAGCAGATACTTTTTTATCTGGCCACAAAGAGATAGTCAGTCTTATAGATATAGAGAGAAGAATACTTACATCTTCTGTGTCCTTAACCCGTAAAATCTGTTCCCTCAGGTCCTGTAAGTCGTTAAATGTGGACTGAGCTGTAATAGAATATACTAGTGCAAACCCTTGGCCATTCTTCATATACAAATCTCTCATTGCTGTAAATTGCTCCTATAATTTAAAAATACGCATTTATAAATTAAAGTTTCCTGAATGCATACTGTAACAATTTAGAACAGAATAATCACAAGTGAGCTCCTACTTCATTACATGCTGTCATGACAGGAAACATAAGACTAATACACAGTTTCCAGCAACACCTAGGTGACTAGAAATAATGATACTCAACTGTCGAATTAGAGGGAATTTCTAACCATCTTAATTTGCTTTGGTGTGACTTAGAAGAACTGTATATAATTCTTTTTTATATATAGATCCTAACCAGTTGGGTCATAATTACATTTTATTTGCAAATTTATGATACAACTACTGCCCAACTGGAAATGATCTGAGGTACCCAACACTGAACTACAACTTAATCATCCAGGACAGATGATTAATATCTCTACTCGCAGATTTTATCATCTTGAAAATCAACAGACTCTTTTTATAAGAGCTTATTCACGTGTATTTATTTTCCTTATTCTGTATTCTATACCTTTAGAAAAGATGCAAGACTCGTACAATGACTATCCAGCTAGACTTAGCAATTGTTAACATTTTGTCACACCAAATTAAATTTTAGGGCCATTTCCTCTTATTTGGTGATAATCATTACTGTGTAACTACATATATTAAAGAAAAAGTCTTATTTTAAAAGGGTATTGGGATTTTATATACGGTATTAAGAAAGCACATACAGAAGAATATTAAAAATGTGCATATCTTGGGTCTTTATATTTTGGATAACTTTGCGCCTTTGGATATGTAAATATAAAATAAGGTCTAAATCTACAAGGTTTGGCTCGGTGCCAAACTGGCTCAGTGAGTAGGGCAACAGTCATATACACCGAGGCTGGCAGGTTCCAGCCCAGCCCAGCCCAGGCCTCCTAAAGAACAATGATAACTGCAACCAAAAAATAACCAGTGGTATGGTGGGCGTCTATAGTCCCAGGTACTTGGGAGGCTGAGGTAAGAGAATTGCTTAAGCCCAAGAGTTTAAAGTTGCTGTGAGATGTGATGCCACAGCACCCTACAGAGGGTGACATAGTGAGATTCTGTCTCAATAAATAAATAAATCCACAAGGTTTCCTAAGCTTCTGGTGCCTGGGCTTACTGACTGTCCATCACCACACTGCCTCTATTTGCCGACTACACCCATGCCAGTTATTCTAGGCTTTTGTATTTCAGGGAGTCAGCTATACTACATCTCAGTCATTTCCCTAGTTTCAAATTCCAGTTTTTGGTGTGCCACAGGAAAATAGGTGGGCTTTCTATGCTGCTGCCAGTGCATTTTCCAGGAAAATGTAAAATCTGAGGATTTCTGGGATCTTTCACCTACAAAGTTTGTATATTCCAGGAAAGTACTATGTGCTAACCAGTTAAATTTTGCTACTGTTAAAATATTTAATTATGTAATAAATGAATTCACTTGCAAATATGTGTTACAAATACTAGCAATAGTTTTCCTATCATGTTCTCTTGAGATCACAGTCTCTGCTTCTTATTAAATCAAAAAAGTAAACATGAGCTGGGCATGGTGGCTCACACCTATAATCCTAGCACTCTGGGAGGCTGAGGCAGGTGGATTGGTTAAGCTCAGGAGTTTGAGACCAGCCTGAACAAGAGTGAGACCCTGTCTCTAAAAAAGTAGCCAGGTATTATGGTGGGTGCCTGTAGTCCTAGCTATCTGGGAGGCTGAGGCAAGAGAATTGCTTCAGCCCAGGAGTTTGAGGTTGCTGTGAGCTATGAAACCCCTGAGTTATGACAGCACAGCACTCTACCAAGGGTGACAAAGTGAGACTCTGTCTCAAAAAAAAAAAAAGTAAACTTATTAGGCAACCTGGGTTTTAAAAATCCAATTTAAGAACAGGCCTTACAGAACTGCTGTGGCTGATGTTGCCTTCTATTGAGAATGCCAAATGCCTTCTTAAGGACAGTCTGCAAATTTTCTCCATTTAACAAATATCCTCTGAGGACCCTCTATGTGCCAGATATTGTGTGTACTAGATACTGGCAAACATGAGAGGCAAAAATCTCTGCCCTGGAGGAATGTATGTGGAGACCAACAAAAATAACACATGCCAAGTGGTAATAAAGGTTACAAAGAAAAATAAAGCAGAGGAGGGGGACAGACAGTTTCTTTTTAGAATAGGAATAGAAAGTTATATTTTAAAAGACTGTGCTCAGGGAAAACTTCACAGGTAATATATGAGTAAAGATCTGAAGAGGTGACCTCAAAGCAGGTAAAGTGAATCTCCTTTGTGTGAAAATGCTTTTTTTTTTTTTAATTTAAAGTTTAAAAAAACCTAAAAAAAAAAAAAGATCTGAAGAGGTGAGAGTAACCTCTATGGTTATTTGGAGAAACAGTTTCCTGGACAGAGGGAACAGCAAATGCAAAGGTGCTGAGGAGAAACACATCCAGAGTACATGAGAAGCTGTGAAGTGGATGAATGCACTGAAACAGTGTTAACTAGTGAGTGCAGAAGCAGGGATGGAGAGGGATCAGAGAGGGAGATGATTATCATTTGGACCTTTCAGGTAAATGTAATAAAGACTTGGATGTCTACTCTGTGCTGAATGGATAATTTTAAGATGAGGAAAACATGATCTTACTTATATTTAAATGGGAATACTGTGGTTACTGTATTAAGAATAGTCTGAAGGACGTCAAGAACAGAAACAGGGAGACCAGTCTTGAGCTTACTGAAATAATCCAGGTGAAAGATAAGAGATAACAATTGCTGACCAAGATAATGTCATAAGATTCTAGTGGTGGTGTCAAACTGTAAAGGTAAAGCCAATAGGATTTACTGAGATTTTGGATGGACATAGAATGTCTGAGAGCTGAAGATGACTCCAAGGTTTAGGCATAACCAACTGAAAGGGTACTATTGACTGATAGAAAAGACTTTAGACAGACCAGGTTGGGGAAGAGGTATCAAGAGTTCAGTTTGGACATGTTATATTTGAGGTACTTATTAGGCATATATACAAGAAGAGATATTGAAAAGGCAGTTAAACACGAGAATCTAAGTTCAGAAAAGAACTCAGAGATGGAATTATAAATTCAGCATGTATTAGCATACAGATTATATTTAAAACCATCCTACTAAAAAAGATCTCCGAAGCAGTATTCTTAGAAAAGAGAAATCTAAGTATTAAATCCTGAGGTTATCCAACATTAAGAGGTTGTAGAGATAAAGAGGAATTAGGAAAGGAGATTTAGGAATAACCAATGAAACAGGGCAAAAACCAGACAAGTGCTGTTTCCTGGAATGAATAATGGTTTTACAGTTCGAGATAGTGGCCAACTGGCTCGGTGCCCATAGTCCAGTGGTTAGGGTGCCAGCCACACACACCGAGACTGGTGGGTTGGAACCTGGCCCAGGCCTGCTAAATAATGACAAAGGCAACAAAAAAATAACCGGGCGTTGTGATGGGCACCTGTAGTCCCAGCTACTTGGGAGGCTGAGCAAGAGAATCGCTTAAGCCCAAGAGTTTAAGGTTTCTGTGAGCTGTTGACACCCTGGCATTCTACTGAAGGCAATATAGTTAGACACTGTCTCCAAAAAAAAAAAAAATAGTGACCAGCTAAATAAAAAATTGCCCGAAGGTCAGGAGAACTGAAAATATACACAAAGGAATGATTATGAATGATAGATTGTGAACCTATATACAGACAGGGTAAAAATATGAGGGGAAATAAAAATATGTAAAGATAAATGAACTGCAGGTTCCAATGAAGTTGAAGAGCATCAAAGGAAGTAAGATGAATAAACAAGAAGTAGTGAGTGGAGAGTGAGATACCTGGAATGAGATTAGTAGGTATTACAATTATTGGTAATCAACCAAAGTCCAAAGTAAAACCATGCATAAATGGCTCTGGTAGGATAGAGATCAAGGCACTGACAGGCCTGGATACTGGATCACCTATGATACTCATATAGATTCTATCTGGATAGTAACATCACCAACAATTCTGAAGAAGCAGTGTTGGAGACAGTGAATGAAAATCTTTAAGGAGTAAGGAGTGATCTGGGACAAGATTAATGAGCATCAGATGCTTTCCACGTTTTATGCGAGGCCCTGGGAACATGGTCAAGCAGACAGACAGCTACAACACGATGTCCTGAGAGCTAGAATGAGAGATGGACATGGTATTGGAGAGCACAAAAGGAAGTTCGTTGCAGTAGAAAATTTATTTTTAAAACTTGGACAGGGAAAGAAGAAAGACTGCCCTCACACTACGGAGGTGGTGAAAAGAAATAGAAAGTATTCTTTAGCTATTGGGGTCTCTGGAAACAAAGGGCAATTTCATTGATTTAGAAGCCAGGAAAATTGAGGTGGGAAGAGGGAGAGATATCTTGATTCAGTTGATATAAAAAATTAGTTTCAATGATCTAAAGCTTCTCATTAGAATCAAGATGCATTTTCTCAGAAAAGAATATAAAAAGATAGTGTAGTTAGTACTATATTGGTATATATAATTGTTATATGCTTCTTTTTGAACTACGTGAAACTTTCTCATCATTTATAAAATTATACCAGAAAAATTTGTGCTGAATTTTAAAAAACTTATAATATTTAAGAATACAACCATTTTAAAGCTGGGAAATCCCTAATTTTATCCCTGTATAAAGGGAAAAAGAAAGAAAAGTAAATGCAAAAATTGCTTAGTGTATGCATTTTATATGGCAGTATAACTGGAAATCATCAGTTATTAATAAAAAAAATTTGTAAAGGGAGACTGGGGATGGCAGCGTGTGCCTATAATCTCAGCTACTTGAGAGGCTAAGGCAGGGGGATCACTTGAGCCTAGGAGTATGAGACCAATAACAGCAAGATTCCATTTCTCCCTGCCAACAAAACTAAGGAAGAAATTATAAAGGTGATGGTATTAACAAATAAAAGCAAACACATGAATTCCATACTTTGTAACGGATACCATGCCAAGTGATTTATAATCACTGTTTCATTTGACCATTATAGGCACGCTATGATATATTAATGCATTATATTAAAGATGAGAAAAATGAGGCTTAAACTAATCTAAAAGATTTTTGCCTTCCTTAGAAAACATATATCTATTATTAGCCCACTGAGATCCTAAAATGCTAGTGAAAAGAAAAAAGACTTTGTCTCTTGGCACCACAGTTGTTCATTTTGATAAAAAGTCTTATTTAACCCACAAAAATACCCATATTAACACAACATTCCAACACAAAGATTCTGCATATATTATGAATCAATATACAATCTGATTGTGGTAAATGAACATTAAGTTCATCGCAGTTGATTTCTCACACATAGAAAATTTAAGAAGACCTACATTCAGAGAATTTGTTCTTAATCAGAATGATTACTTTTATCCTAAGAGAATTATTCAGATGACAATAACCAGTTCACAAATTAAATTCTACCAAAAAAGAGAACATATCCTTACTGTTCCTGCTGTGTCCAGGATTTCCAGCATACACTGTTGGCAATCTACTTCAACTTGCTGTGAGGGTGAAAAAAAGAAATTAAATTAGAAAGAAACACCAAAATGTCATTCTGTTGTCCTCCCACCTCCTCATGCCAAGTACCTATTAGCAACTACAGAACCTTTCTCCAGCAGTTGGCTGTACTGGCTAGGAGTAAACTAAGTACTACAATAACCAGGGGTTTCAAGCATAGTTTATTGATATGTAGAAGCCAGGATGGCTAACACTGAGTTTAGACATCTTCTGACCACTGTTATGATTTTTTATTTTCTTATTAAAAGGCAAAAGGTCATAATCTGGAAATTAAGAAAAACTACAACAAGCAGGTATAGTTCTTTTAAAAAAGTACATAAATATGCACAATTTACATTATCTTCAGAGAAAACAAAGTATGAAAATATCAAATGACTCAAAATATACACAAGAAGATTTTAGGATAAAGAAAAATTTGCCAACTTGCCATATTTAAGTTGTTAAAATTTTACTAAAATATGCACAAAATTTAGGAAAATTTGAATTTAATCACAAAGGATACATAGAAGTACTAAAATAAGACTAGCTTACACAGTCCTCAAGTCTAAGAAAAAGATACTTCTTTAGAAAAGTTCTTGTAAAAGATGAAATTTTATATACTGAATTCCAATTTCCCACTAGTTTATAAAAGAAGAGAAGGTTAATCTAATGAAAGTATCAGCTACCAAGAATGTGAAAAACTTAATAAGGAAAGTTAGTTCTTCATCACACTAGGCACAGATCTTGTTATGCAGTTAAAGGTTTAACTAACAACTTATTTGGGGGAAATCCAGTAAAGCAATACTATTTTCTAAAAATAAATGTGTTACTAAGGATTATTTCCAACTCTGCTTTTTTGTCAGATTAAGGATTGACGAACACCACTTGTGGTGTCACAAACTAACCATCCCACCACTTACAGGACAAGTGTGGTAAAATCTGTACCTGGGTGTGTTCAGTGAATATGCATTAGGTCTACAGTTTCTCATAAATCTCGACACCATTGTATGTCCAATTTGAAGACAGTGAAATTGCTCTGCAGTACTACTTTATAGACTAACTTAATTCAACTAAAGTTATGTAGCACTTAAATTCTAAAAATATCTAAAAAAAGAAATCTTTTCCTATTAAAGGCAGATTTTTTTTTTTTATTATTATTTTTTGGTATGTCATTGGCTACCAGTCTTTTATAGTACTGTTTTGGGAAATAAAATCATAAAAATTTTCCACAATCCTAGTTTTAGTCTTACAGTTAAACAGAATTTTTTTTTGTCAAGACCAATTAATTTTTTCCTCTTAAATAGACTTTATTAGGGGCAGTTTTAGGATCACAGCAAAACTGAGGAAAAGGTACAGAGCCACACACATCCTCCCACACATGCGCAGCCTACCCCACTACCAACAACTTGATACTCATAACAGTACATCTGTTACAAATGATGAACCTATAATGACATATCACTGTAACTGGAAGTCTGCAGTTTACAACAGGATTTGCTTTGGTATTATACATTTAATGGGTTTTGAAAAATGTAGATGTATCCACATTATAGTATCACACAGTATCTAGATGTAAATTTTTTGTAGTCTAAAGGTGAAATATCTTTATTATATAACTAAAATCAAAACTTATAGTCATTGGATAACTTAAATCATAGAGGTGATCTTAATTTTTGTTAACAAATAGTTGAAATACACCTACTACTTACATAACGGTCAAATCTGCGTACTTGTATGTAATTTTTCTATAAGATAATTATTAATCAACAACAGAACATGCAACTCTGATGTATGTAAACAATATTCTTCACAAGGTATTTTATCAAGGTATAACTTTTAAAAATAAATGAAGAACATTATATCATTTCTCAAAACTATTTTAAAACAGCAATTCCATTGATCAAGCTTTAAAGTCATAAAGAACTACTTGTAAGCATGTAGGTACACATTATACATTTTACCTTTCTGTAGGAATCTTCTATCGTTGGGTCATATTTTTCAACAAAAATTCCCTGAACAAATTGAACTGTCTGGGGGGAGAAAAAAACAAGAGAAAAGGTAAGAACTTAAATGAAAATCTAGCTTCCATTCTGAACTTCACAAAGTTGTAAAGAGTAAATAAAATTATGTGAAAATTCTGGGTAAACACACAAATGTGAAGTGTCAGTATTATTTTTCAGTATAAAGATTAAAAGTTGTCATCAATATTGCTGCTGACAGCCAGGTGTGCCTGTAGTCCCAGCCATTCACTAGGCCAAGGTGGGAGGATGGCTGGAACCTAGGAGTTTGAGGCTACACCACTGCACTCCACCTGGGCAATAGAGCCAAACAGCTGCTGCTGAAACTATTAAACATTACTTTATTAAGTTTCAAAATACAAGTGGCCAGGCCAGGTATGCTTGCTTACTCCTGTAATCTCAGCACTTTGGGAGGCTAAGATGGGAGGTTCCTTGGAGGCCAACAGTTCAAGAGTAGCCTGGGCAACATACTGAGACCTTGTCTCTACAAAAAATTAAAAAAATATCCAGCTATGATGGTGCATGCTTGCAGTCCTACATTTTTTAAAATGTCTTTTTAATTGTGAGGAAAAAGAGAAAAGGGAATTTGAATTTATTGAATGCCTATTATGTCCTAGGCACTGAGCTAGTAATTAACTTAAAATTATAGGCTCAGTGCCCATAGCTCAGTGGTTAGGGCTCTGGCCACATACACTGGGGATGGCTGGTTCGAACCCAGTCTCAGCCTGCTAAACAACAATGACAACTATAACAAAAAAATAGCCAAATGTTGTGGCGGGCACCTGTAGTCCCAGCTATTTGGGAAGCTGAGGCAAGAGAACTGCTTAAGCCCAAGAGTTTGAGGTTACTGTGAGCTATGACACCATAGCACTCTACTGAGGGCGACATACTGAGACTGTCTCTTTTTTTTTTTTTTTTTGAGACAGAGCCTCAAGCTATTCCCCTGGGTAGAGTGCCATGGCATCACGCTCACAGCAACCTCCAACTCCTGGGCTCAAGCGAGTCTCCTGCCTCAGCCTCCCAAGTAGCTGGGACCACAGGCGCCTGCCACAACGCCTGGCCATTTTTTGGTTGCAGCCATAGTTGTTTGGCGGGCCCAGGCTGGGGATTCGAACCCGCCACCTTAGGTGTATGTGGCTGGCGCCTTAGCTGCTTGAGCCACAGGCGCCGAGCCCAGACTCTGTCTCAAAAAAAGGAAACTATATACATATGCCTGCTTTTGCATCCAGTCTCATGTATTATGTATATTATATATATATAATTACATTCATATTTCACATTCACCTTAGAAATAGTTATTTTTCCCATTTGCCAGGTGATGATTCAAGCATACATCTTGATTCTAAGGCCTTACTCTTTCCATTAGAAAACACTATCTAGTCATCTTTTTCAGATATCCTGCTTTCATCTCTACATATCTGTGTAAGTACATACTAGAAACTACATATTGATCATTCAGAAAATGAAAAATAGTACAGAAGATAGTTGTAAGATATCTCCCAGGAAGCTTTAAAAAAAGGTCTGGTACCTTATTACCTAAAACCAAGAGTAAGAATGTGGACTGAGTTTGCTTTCACTTAAATCACTCAGAGGAATATTATATACACTATTTTAGGTCGAGGTAAACAGATTAATTTAAATATACGAAGCTTAAATTTATTTCTCCTACTAAGCTCCTATTTATTATTCAAAGGAAATTCAGGCTATAATCACACAAAAATTTTTAATCATCATTTTTATCAAGGATTCAACCACTTCATCTTCTAAGAATGACACACAATTTCAACATACAACACAATTTAATACGGCTTTCTAATATGCCTCAGAATAGAGCAGAGATTCTCAAAACAGGGTCCAGGGCAGAGGCTGCCTGAGGTCAAACTATTTTCTTATTATAATAACACTAAAACGTACTCTCCTTCTCTCCTAAGTTTATAGTGGATTTTTCCAAAGGGTATGTAACATGTACTAATACATGAGACTGGATGCAAAAGCAGGCATAAGAACCCTAGCGCCTTCTGTAAGTCAGACATTGATAAGACTTGCAAAACAATCCCATGCTTCTTACTTTTCTTACTAAAAGTAATCTTTCATTACTCCTTTTAATCCTAAACTCCCTCTCAATTTTCAGGGACATCTCATTCACTCATCTAGATTATAACTTTATCCCTTTGTTTTTTGTGCTGAATCCTCTCCTCTCTTCTCCTTATCATTACTTTCCTCTCCACTAGATTACTGATTCCAGCCAACAAACATGCTGTGCTGTCACCAATCCTAAAACAAAACCAAAAACCTCCCATAACCCCATGATTCCTCCAGCTTCTGCCCCCTCTTTTCTGTTCTCTCATAAGCTTTTTCAACGGTCTGTATTTCATTTCCTCAGCAATTTACTCTTCAATCTTCCCCTTATATGGTTATGGCACCATTACCTACCAAGTTGCTTTTTTAATCACTTCGAACTACTTCTATGTTCCTGTGTTCCCAAATCAGCTCTTTACTCTTTGCTACTTGATTTCTGAGTAGTCAAATAAAGATACATTCTTTACTTTCAAGTATAAGATACATTCTTCTATGTTAGATGCTCTCTAATCCTACCTATTCGCTAAAGGTGAGGAGGTACTCAGAGCTCACTTCTGAACTCTGCTCTTCTCTGTCTAGTCTCTTCCTAGACAACCACTTTCACTCCTATGGGTTTTTTAAGAAAAAATGATCTTTTTATTTTCAAAAAGATAATTCATGGACATAGGACCAGATTTAAAAGTCATAAAAGGCTACATGGTGGTAACTAAGCTTACCTACCACCCTTGTTTCCAGCTACCCAATCCCACTCTATGTATTTTATAGGTATTCCCCTTAAACACTCACCTTTTTAAAAAATTAAACAAATGATAGTTTATGCTGTTTATTACCTTTTTTCTCTATAAATAATACATCTTGAATACCATTACATTATCAGTATATGTAGAGCTGTTGCATTCTTTTAGTGGCTGTTAAGTAGTCTACTCTGAATATACATTAAAATTTACTTAATTAGCCCAAGGCCTTGTGGTAGGCATTTAGGTTATTTCTAAACTCTAGTCACTGTAAAAAATGTTGCAATGGATGTCCTTGACCATGTCCTTTTGCGCATGTAAAGTTATGGGTGGGATAAATTTCTAGAGAGAAAACTGCTGAACTGAAAGTTACACAAAGCAAGAGGCGGGGGTTTATAACTCAATGCCCATAATCCTAGCACTTTGGGAGGCTGAGGTGGGAGGACTGCTTGAGGCTAGGAGATTGAGACTAGCCTAACCAGCATAGCAAGACTCTGTCTCTACAAAAATAATAAAAAAATACTAATAAAAAAAGTAATTTTAGTCAGGCATAGTAGTATGTGCCTATAGTCTCAGATACTTAGGAGGCTAAAGTGAGAGAATTGCTTGAGCCCAGGAATTTGAGGTTGCAGCAAGTTACAATAATGTCACTGCATTCTAGAACTGATGACAGAGCAAGACCTTGCCTTTAAAATAAAGGAAAAAAAAATTTTTTTTTAGAGACAGAGTCTCACTTTATTGCCCTTGGTAGAGTGCTGTAGTGTCACAGCTCACAGCAACCTCTAACTCCCAGGCTTAGGATATTCTCTTGCCTCATCCTCCCAAGTAACTGGGACTACAGGTGCCCACCACAATATCTGGCTATTTTTTTGTTGCAGTTTGGCTGGGGCAGGGTATATGGAGCTGGTGCCCTACTCACTGAGCCACAGGCGCTGTCCTCACAAGCCTCTCTTTTAAGCTCATATCTTTAAGATTCATTTGTTTATTGGACATATTTACTTAAACATCTCAAAACATAACATTTGACCTGACATTTGTAATGATATTCAAAAATCCAATACTGGATGTTTAACTTTCACTGCTCATTCTCTAGTGTTGCTTCTTCTCTTTCATTCATCCATAAAATTAGTAGCTGAAATAAGAAACTTATGGGTCATTCCTGACAGCTGCTTCTCTCCCAGTCCTCATACATCAATCTGGCACTGCTATGTTAGTCCTACCACTTATTCAGTCCTCAACCATCTATCTCTCTTTTCTTCACTGCCATGGCCCTAGTCCAATCTTCCATAAACAATAATCTGGTATACTGTATTAATTCTCTGTTTGTCTCCCACATCCATTCTACCTCTCTTCTAAATACTTTGCATTTTTTCTTCTGGTATCTCTCTCACAATCATAATCCACTAGTTTTCCACGTAATTGTGTATTTATTACATCTCTTCTGCAACTGTTTTTGTTCACTGTTATGATTCTAGAATCTGACACTGTAGAATCTCAATGATTATTTACTGAATGAATATAGCATGTATACCAATGACAACCTTCATTCCACGTAAGTCTGGGGTGGAGGCAAGGGAGGAACTATCCCACTAGAATCTGTAATAGTTTCCCCCACTGGAATGTAAATTCCTTAAAAATGAGAATGAACTTATTCTTCTTTAAATCATGAGCACTGATGGTTGACATATAAGGAGGCCAATAAATATTTCATAAATGAAAGAATAAATGAGTCAACATTATAAAAATACATCTATCTGTGGTTACTACATGATTTCCTGTCCCCTGTGGGCCAGACACTAGGTATATAAAAATAATGCCACCTTTTTCTTTAGTAACTAGAAGTCTAAAAGCAAGCAAATGTCAAAATTCTTCTTGAATTATGCTAATTAGTTATACTTAGGTGGCTAACTTACCAGAGCAGACTTCCCAACGCCTCCTGAACCAAGAACCACTAGCTTGTATTCACGCATGATGTGGTCTGTTTAAATACTGATAATCTAAAAAACAAAAATAAAAATAAAAGCTTAACAAACATGCTAAGAACATCCTAAGAATGAATATTATACCAAATATGGGATTTTGTTCTTTTTTTTTTTTTTTTTTTACTTAAGACTACCAAGAGTGCAAAAGAGGCTACACAGCAAAAACTACATAGATTTTAACATAAGTTTATAAGAGTATTGTCAGATATTTTAATTCACTGAAAATCATCTTTGATGGGCCAATTATTAGCCTGTTCATGTTACTTTTAAGGTTTAATCACAATACAAGATGGCTAAACCCAATAGTTGCAACTATAAAGCTATCATTTAAACAACCTAGGTACTTTTTGGAAATGTTTTGTTTACTCATGCACTTTAATATACATGCTATTTTATTTGCTTAAAATATCTTACAGCAATTCTATGCTATTTTGTATATTGTTGAATTATAGGTGAACCTTGTAAAATGTCACCTTAAAAACTATTAGTATGCAGGGTGGTGCCTGTAGCTCAGTCGGCAGGGTGCAGGCCACATACACCTAGGGTGGCAGGTTTGAACCTGGCCCCGGCCTCCCAGGCAACAATGACAATAGCAGGCATTGTGGTGGGCGCCTGTAGTCTCAGCTGCTTGGGAGGCTAAGGTAAATGAATCGCTTAAACCCAAGCATTTGAGGTTGCTGTGAGCTGAGATGTCACAGCACTCTACCCAGGGTGACAGCTGGACACTCTGTCTCAAAAAAAAAAAAAAGTATAAGTATGCAAACAGGAGTTCAGATGTAACTGTTAAAACTCTATAAGTAGATAATATATTCCAAAAGGCTCAAATTGTTAGAAAAAAATAAAAGGAAAAGGCTTTATTTTTTATCTCCATGGTTAATGTAAAAGGCAAAAAAGCAGGAAATAATTTCCAATGGCCATGATGGAGAAACTAAGAGCTAGAACACAGAACAAAAAACTGAAACTGTTTACAGACACTGGACAATAAACAGTATAGGACTGATTTCTGAGTTTTGTGAAAAAATGAAGTGAAACCTAGTTTCCTGGCTTTCTGCCTAGCCTCACTTTCCAGATTATGGTGCAGGGAAAAATAACTCAAGCAGAGCTTAGAAGGATAGCAGAGAAGTGAAGAGCGAGCTAGAGAGAAAATTCATACAATAAAAAAAACAGACATGAAGAAGAAAATAGGACCTGAAACCAGGGTGAAATAAATCAATTAAAACAGAAATGAGTAGATGAAATTAGACAATGAGGATTCTAAAATTGCTACTATAAATATGCTGGAAAATTTCAAGAAAAACATAAGAGAAATGGTAGGCATAAAAAAAGAACTAAGGCTGGCTGCGGTGCCTCACGCCCATAATCCTAGCACTCTCGGAGGCTGATGTAGGTGAATTGCTGAGCTCACAGGTTTGAGACCTGCCTGAGCCAGAGCAAGACCCCATCTCTAAAAATAGCTGAGTGTTGTGGCAGGCACCTGTAGTCCCAACTATGGGAAGGTGAGGCAAGAGGATCACTTGGGTCCAAGTTTGAAGTTGCTGTGAGCTGTGATACTATGGCACTCTACTGAGGGCAACAAATGAGACTCTGCCATTAAAAAAAAAAAAAAAAAGAACCAAAAAGAACTTTCAAGATTCAAAAACACTATCTATAATGGAAATATTACTGGATGAGATTACCAGTGTATTAATTACCGCAGAAAGAAAGTTCAGAGGATCTGAGGACACAGTAAGAGAAAGTACCAAAAGCTAAACACAGTTAAAACATGCTAAGAACAAGGAAAAGTGGGTGGAAGACAAGAAAAAAGGAAAGAAAAAGCAAAGGTCGAGGGGTGGGGTGGGGTGGGGGGATAGAAAAAGAACAGAAGACAGAAGAATAGGACAATATTAAGCCATTAAATAGTGTAATATATGTATAACTAGAAGGGGGGCAATGGTAGTATTTGAAGCAATAGTGATAAAACATTTTCCAAATTTGATAAAAACTATACATTTTACAGACCTAAGAAATTCAATGAGCCCTTTCCTTAATATGCATAAACCAAACAAAACGTATCAAGGCACAATAATCAAATTGTCCAAAGGAAAAATCTTATAAGATACAAACTCTTATATGAGCATGCAAATAACTCAGCCAGAAGTAGAAGAAGCCAGAGGGAAAAAAGTTTAGATAGAAATAGTTAGGAACAGTTAAGAAAAGATGTAGACTTCATAAGTTATAAAAGATAGTAGAAAACAGAACATCTTTAAAATGCTTAAAGAAATAAAAGTTCAACCTACAATGCTAAATAGTATATATTACAATAACAGAAGGAAAGGAGAGAAATGTAAATATACTGTTGAAGGTTCTTAGATTATACTGAAAGTGAACTGCCATGTTAGAGATACACACTGTAAGTCCTAGAGCAGGGGTCCTCAAACTGCGGCCCACTGGGTGTTTTTGCCACCACTGCCTGTCCTGTTTAGCAGCCGACTTTTCCTGGGCCCGCAGTCTGGCCCTCCAAAGGTCTAAGGGACAGTGAACTGGCCCCCTGTTTAAAAAGTTTGAGGACCCGTGTCCTAGAGCAACCACTAAAAAAAAAAAAAAAAAAAAAAAAAGCATAACTAAAAATCTAGAAGTTGAGATAAATGAAATACTTAAAAAAGCCAAAACCTCAACTCATCCGAATGAAAGCATAAGAAATGAAAATAAGCAAAAAAGAGCAAGGAAAAGATGGACAAATACAGAACAAGTAACACAATGGTAGAATTGAAAAAAAATCATACCATTACATTAAATGTAAACTGCCGAAATATTTCAATTTAAAAGACCAACAACAGGCTTGGCACCTGCAGCACAGTGGTTATGCTGCCAGCCACATACACCAAGGGTGGCCGGTTCAAACCTGACCTGGATCAACTAAACAACTGCAACCAAAAAACAGCTAGGCATTGTAGCGGGCACCTATAGTCCCAGCTACTTGGGAGGCCGAGGCAAGAGAATAGCTTAAGCCCAAGAATTTGAGGTTGCTGTGAGCTGTGACACCACGGCACTTCACCGAGGGCAGCATATTTGAGACTCCGTCTCAAAATAAAATTAAAGACAAACAACAAAAAAGCAAAACCTAACCATATGCTGCTTCAACAAACTTTGCTAATACACTCTTGTGGTTTATTGGCTCCATTCAAAATAGAAGGAAAAACTAAATTTCATTCCAAGGTAGTGGGGAAAAAAGATACACAATATAATATATTTTTTTCTATATGAGCGCTGGAAATCCTGGATTAAGAACCCCTACGTATGGCTAGGCTCATGCCTATAATCCCAGCACTGTGAGAGGCCAAGGTAGGAGGATGGCTTGAGGCCAAGAGTTTAAGTCCAGCTTGGGCAACAAAGTGAGACTCCACGTCCCATCTCTATAAAAAATAAAAATAAAATCAGTCAGGTGTGGTGGCACATGTTTGTAGTTCTAGCTACTTGGTAAGCTAAGGCAGGAAGATCATTTGAGCCCAAGAGTTGGAGGTTGCAGGTATGCAATGATGCCACTGAGACAGAGTAAGACCTTGCCTTAAAAAAAAAAAAAAATCTATTTTAAGTAGTTAGCATCTAGTCCAGCTGTTCTCAATGATTTGGGTTTCAGGTGTTCTTAATTGTATAAATACTCATTTATATTCTTGCAAGCTTTTATTTCTGTGTTCTTAGGAATGGATGTTGCATTCTTTCCCCCAATGCTTATTTTGCATCTATTGATGCCATATGGCTTTCCATTTTATTCTACTAGTATGTCTACTCTCACCACTTCTATTCAACAAAGTACCAAAGCTAGGCATGGTAGGTTCTATCTAGCCTATGCAAATGGAAGAAGTAAAACTGTTTTAGTAACAGATGATACAATTCCTACATTAAAAATCCTAAGGAATATACAAAAAAGGTACCAGGCTAATAAAGTGAATTTAGCAAGATTGCAAGATAAAAGGTTGATAGAAAAAAAGCAATGAATCTCATGTGCCATACAACAATTTGGCCAATGATGGATGGCATACACGGCCAGAGGGTGTACACAACTGTCACAATATTATAGTAACATAATACTGTACATATATTATCATAATATTATAATACTATATTTTATCATATCTTTTCTATGTTATGTACACATATATCTACCATTATGTTAAAATAGCCTACAGTATTCAGTCAATATAGGTTGGTAGCTCAGAAGCAACAGGCCACTACAGTATATAGCCCAGGTGTAGTAGGCTACACCACTTAGGTTTGCGGTAACACTCAATGAAGGTATAGTATAAGGACAGAAGCCTAATGACACATTTCTCAGAACATATCCTCATTAAGTGATATGTGACAAAATTTCTAGAATATTGGCAAATAAAAAATGATATTTAAAAAATAATTATCGTTTGCAAAAGGAATCAATAAGAAACTACTGAGACATTCAATAAAATATATGCAAGTCTTATATACTGAAATATAAAATATTACTGTAAAAATTAAAGACTTAATAGAGATATATATAATATGGGCCATATTATCAAGATTTGCTCATATTTTTAAGTTGTAAATTCTCTTCACCTTCATCTGCAGATTCAATACTATCACAGGAGGTTTCTGTTTTGTAGAAACTAATAAGATGATTTTTTTTTTTTTTTTTGAGACAGAGCCTCAAGCTGTTCCCCTGGGTAGAAGGTTGTGGCATCACAGCTCACAGCAACCTCCAACTCCTGGACTCAAGTGAGTTTCCTGCCTCAGCCTCCCAAGTAGCCAGGACCACAGGTGCCCGCCACAACGCCCAGCTATTTTTTGGTTGTAGCTGTCACTGTTGTTTTGGCAGGCCCGGGCTGGATTCGAACCCGCCACCTTAAGTGTATGTGGCTGGCGCCTTAGCCACTTGAGCCACAGGCGCCGAGCCTAATAAGATGACTTTAACATTTAATATGAACATGCAAATAACTCAGCAAAGCTAATTTGATTTTGGAAAAGAATAACAAAGTCTAATAATATCTGACTTCACAACTTACTAT